TGGAATCCTCATGGTAGATAGCTGAGAGACTTTGGCCCAATATCCAGGGGAGGGTGAGTTCTAATTCTGCAGTTGGTTAAATGAATTCTTCCCCTAAGAGGTGAGTTCTAGTCCTACAGGAAGCACAACAAAAAGTAGAATGAGTTTGGGCAAGCAACTAAGAGACAGTAAAATCTCTTCCTGCATTAGGTGCAGTTCTCCTCCTGGAATGTTCCTGCTAGGTTGATGTGGCTCTTTGGGACAATCACAAAGAGGTGGTGAGTTCTAATCCTGCAGTAGGAATGATGAAATCTTCCCCTAAAAGGTGAGTTCCACTCCTGCAGTGCGCAGAACAGAAAGTTGACTGACCTTGGGTGAATAAGTTAAAGAAGTTGACTTCTCATCCTTTCTTAGGCATGGTTCTCCTCCTGGAATCCTCATGGTAGATGGCTGAGAGACTTTGGGCAATCATGAGGAGTTTGTGACTTCTAATCCTGCAGTAGGATTGATTAAATCATCTCTAAAAGGTGAGTTCCAGTCCTACAGGGAGCACAACAGACAGTTGAATGATGTTGGGCCAATAACTAAAAGATGGTGACTTTTCTTCCAGCCTTAAGCATGGACCATTCTCCTCCTGGAATCCTCATGATAGGTGGCAGAGGGACTTTGGGACAATCACAAAGAGGTGGTGAGTTCTAATCCTGCAGTAGGAATGATGAAATCTTCCCCTAAAAGGTGAGTTCCACTCCTGCAGTGCGCAGAACAGAAAGTTGACTGACCTTGGGTGAATAAGTTAAAGAAGTTGACTTCTCATCCTTTCTTAGGCATGGTTCTCCTCCTGGACCCCTCCTGCTAGGTGGATGAGGCTCTTTGGGACAATCACAAGGAGGTGGTGAGTTCTAATCCTGCAGTAGGATTGATTAAATCTTCCCTAAAAGGTGAGTTCCTGTCCTACAGGAAGCATAACAAGACAATTGAATGACTGGTTGCATAACTAAAAGATGGTGATTTCTCTTCCAGCATTAAGCATGGACCATTCTCCTCCTTGAATCCTCATGCCAGGTGGCTGATGGACTTTGGGCCAATATTCAGGGGATGGTGAGTTCAAATTCAGCAGTTGGTTTGATGAATTCTTCTCCTGAAAGGTGAGTTCCACTCCGGCAGCAATCACAACAAAACAATTGAATGACTTTTGTTGCATAACGAAAAGATGTTGACTTCTCTTCTTGCTTTAGTCATGGACAATGCTCCTCCTGGAATCCTCCTGATAGGTTGCTGAGAGACTTTGGGACAATCACAAGGAGATGGTGAGTTCTAATCCTGCAGTAGTATTGATGAAATCTTCCCCTAAAAGGTGAGATCCACTCCTGCAGCACGCAGAACAGAAAGTAGACTGACTTTGGGTGAATAAGTTAAAGAAGTTGACTTCTCATCCTTTCTTAGGCATGGTTCTCCTCCTGGAAGCCTCATGGTAGTTGGCTGAGAGACTTTGGGAAATCATGAGGAGTTTGTGAGTTCTAATCCTGCAGTAGGATTGGTTAAATCATCTCTAAAAGGTGAGTTCTACTCCTGCAGGAAGCACAACAGATAGTTGAATGATGTTGGGCCAATAACTAAAGACGGTGACTTCTCTTTCAGCATTAAGCATGGACGACTCTACTCCTGGATCCCTCAAGATAGGTGAATGATGGACTTTGGGCCAATATCCAGGGGACGGTGAGTTCTAATTTTGCAGTTGGTTAGATGAATTCTTCTCCAGAAAAGTGAGTTCCACTCCAGGAACACACACAACAAGACCATTGTATGACTTTGGTTGCATAAGTAAAAGACGGGGACTTCTCTGATTGCTTTAGGCATGGACCATTCTCCTCCTGGAACCCTCCTGGTAGGTGGATGAGGCTCTTTGGGGCAATCACAAGGAGGCGGTGAGTTCTAATTCTGCACTACGTTTGATGAACTCTTTCCCTAAAAGGTGATTTCTACTCCTGCAGTGTGCAGAACAGAAAGTAGAATGAGTTTGGGCCAATAACTAAAAGACAGGGACTTCTCCTCCAGTATGAAGCATGGACCACTCTCCTCCTGGAATACTCATGATAGATTGCTGAGAGACTATGGGCCAATATCCAGGGGATGGTGAGTTCAAATTCAGCAGTTGGTTAAATGAATTCTTCTCCTGAAAGGTGAGTTCCACTCCAGCAGCACACACATAAAGACAATTGAATGACTTTGGTTGCATAACTAAAAGATGGCAACTTCTCTTCATGCTTTAGGCATGGACCATTCTCCTCCTGCAATTCACAAGATTGGTGAATGATGGACTTTCGGCCAATATCAAGGGGATGGTGAGTTCAAATTCTGCAGTTGGTTAAATGAATTCTTCTCCTGAAAGGTGAGTTCCACTCCAGCAGCACACACATAAAGACAATTGAATGACTTTGGTTGCAGAACTAAAAGATGGCAACTTCTCTTCATGCTTTAGGCATGGACCATTCTCCTCCTGCAATTCACAAGATTGGTGAATGATGGACTTTCGGCCAATATCAAGTGGATGGTGAGTTCAAATTCTGCAGTTGGTTAAATGAATTCTTCCCCTAAGAGATGAGTTCTTGTCCTACAGGAATCACAACAGAAAGTAGAATGACTTTGGGCAAGCAACTAAGAGACAGTGAAATCTCTTCCTGCATTAGGTTCAGTTCTCCTCCTGGAATCCTCCTGCTAGG